CTCAGGTCTCAGGCATGTACTCTGTGACTCAGGCGAACTTGCACGCACACACGTACACACATACACACATGTGCACACTTGTGGCCCCAAGTCTACTTCCTCTCTGTTCCTTGCATCTGCGTCGTAGACGAGTGTGCCAGTTCCCATGACTTGCCTACCAGGGTTTGCCTGAGGGAAACGATGACTGTGAATAAACATGTCATTTTCTATCTATCTCTTGTTTCCATTTTGCTGAGATGGATATTTCAGGAGCCACCCTAGTATTACCTCCAAGAATAGTTTGAGAAATACACTTCTATTAAATCATGCTAAGGCATTAGAAAACAATTTTATGATTTTCATAAAAATGAAGAAAAATCTATTTTTACTTTCTCTTAGATGCAATTTGCTGTTCTAGGTATTTTTTTTTGTGACAATCGACTTTTGATCGTGGGCGACATTCCTGAATCTTTATTGCCTTGGTTTGTTTATTATGAGCCACACAACTTTATTTCTGAGGTCCAGCCTCTTATAGTCTGTCAATCTGAGATGATGGCCAAGTCTTTATTAGTATGTGTTTGGCATAATTTTGATGTATGAAAAATGTGAGAATTCATTTTTGGGGTGAGTATTCATTCCAGTGGAAGACTCATGTCTTTCTAAAGAGATTGACTGGTTGATCACTTTACATACCATTCACCCAAACTGGTTCAAATATTATGGAAATCTGGAGGGTCCTCAAAAATGTGTGGTCTAGCTGTCCTGCTCCTGGAGAGGAAATGTTCAAAGGGAACGAAAATAGTATCTCAGAGAAGTGTCTGCACTCTGTCCACTGCAGCATTTCTCACTATAGCCAAGATGTGGAGCTGACCGAAGTGTCAGCCAGTGGAAAAAGAAGATGTGGGGTGTGTGTGTGTGTGTGTGTGTGTGTGTGTGTGTGTGTGTGTGAAATACTGAGCTGGGGGGAAGAAGGAAACCCTGCCATTTGTGCCAATATGGCTGACCATGACCACGAGGTCATTATGTTCAGTGAGAAAAGTCCAAGAAAGACAAGTCCTTAATAGCAGCACTTCAGCGTAGAACCTGAAAGAGCCAAACTTGTGAAGACACTGCAGCACCAGGGCTGGGAGGGGGGCGATGCCATTCCAGGCCACGGGCCTGTGGCCCGTTGAGGGGTAAAAGCCTGGGGAGCCTTTGCATAGGGTTTCGATTTTAGACTCTAGTCCTGCCACAGAAGCTTCCACGTTGCTAAGACACCAGGCCTTACTTGCTCCCACTACGAAGGAGGGTGACAGCTCTGTGACACGCGATGGTCTGAGCCCTGCTGGTGGGGCCATGCGACAGCATCTGACTGTGTCGAGTCAACACACTGTCCCCTTCACCTCATGCAGTGCAGTTTGTCAAGTACCTCAAGGAAACACTTCATTCCCCTACACACCTGATTATATGCAGGTCACCAGGATGTTTCCTTACATACCTTACAAGCATCATCTGCTAACTTTACCTCGATGAAACGGAAATTAAAAAAGGAAGGCCACACCCACGCCTCCAGGCTGTTTTCAGAATCAGCCAACCCTGCATGTAGCCGCCACTCACCACCGCTACCATCTGGTTTTTCTCTTGGCAATGCTTTGAGATTAAAAAATAGACATAATAGCACGTGTACACTCCGTGACTGATGGGAGAGTAAGCCTTGTCACGCCTAGGGTGGACATTAAGATGCACGTTTCCTCATTGCAGTCCTGGCCTTCTAAAGGATCACGGGTAAAGGAGTTATTGATTGCAATGTCTGATAATAAAGTGGGTTTAATTTTTTTGTTTCTTCTTTTGCTGTTTTAAAAGTAAAGTTCCCTCCCCCCATTTCCTTTCATTGCCTGAAATTTATCTTTCTTTCTTTTTTTAGATTTTATTATTTATTTATACAAGAACCAGGGGACAGGCCAGATGTGTGGGAGGATGAGAGGACTCACCAGAGACAGAGCGAGGGACAGAACAGGCAGACTGACTGAAATACACTGCTGACGAGAGCAGCAGGGAGACAAGAGAGGTCTGCTTGCCATGTGGGTATCTCCCTGGCCAGCTGGGATCGAACCAGTCAGTGCTGCAGAGGCCGTGGACAGCTTCACAGTACTGCGCTCAACTGCCTGCGCCATCAGGGAGGCCCTGGAATTATCCTTTTTTTTTTAAATTTTTTTAGATTATTTTTTATTTATACAGTAGATGGGGTACAGGCTAGAGGCATGGGAAGGTGAGAGAATTCACCAGAGACAGAGCGGGGAGCAGAACAGGGAGCAGAACAGGATCAAAAGCACTGCTGAGGGGAGCAGCAGGTGCAACAGAAGAGGTCTGTCGTGCCATGTGGGACTCTCCCTGGCCGGCTGGGAATTGAACCCACGCTGCAGAGGCTGCGGACAGCTTCATAGCGCTGTGCTCAACCCGCTGCACCACCAGGGAGGCCCCTGGAATTTATCTTGATGTCACAGGGAGTCGCCACGAGGCTGAGATCCACGCGCCCATCAGTGGCTCTTCCTGTGGGCAAGGATATTTGGATGAGCATCAGCACAGCCAAGCACAGCCTGACTGGCATCTTCTAGCTGTGTCACTTTGTGCACACTTTGACACTGTGACAATTATAAGTTACTCTAAATTTAAGCTATAGTAACTATTTGACTTTTTATTCGTGAGATTCTCTCCCTTGCTGTAGATAAATTGAATATGCTTAAAAGCGGGTGCAAGCTTTCATTGTCTTTCTGCAGTTTGGAGTAAAGTCTTAGAACATCAAAGCTTTTATCGTTACTTTTGTAACTACTGTAAAAACGGATCGATTTAAGATTAGATGTGGAGCTGACTTACATTAAATATGGGGGATTCCTTGTATGTCTTTCTCTTGTCTTATTGCTCTGGCTAGGACTTCCAGTATTATATTGAAAGCAGTGGTGAGAGTGGACATCCTTGTCTTGTTCTAGATACTTTTTTTTTTTTTAAGATTTATTTATTCATTTACACAAGAACCGGGGTACAGACCAGATGCGCGGGAGGGTGAGAGGATTCATCAGAGACAGAGTGGGGAACAGAACAGGCAGACTGACAAAACACACTGCTGAGGGGAGCAGCGGGCACGACAGGAGAGGTCTGCTGTGCCCTGTGGGACCCTCGCCAGTCAGCCAGGATGGAACTGGTGCTGCAGAGGCTGCGGACATCCTCACAGCACGGTGCTCAACCGCCTGTGCCATCAGGGGAGGCCCATTATTCCAGATCTTAAGGGAAATGCTTTCAGCTTTTCACCATTGAGAATACTGGCTGTGGGCTTGTCATATATGGCCTTTATGATGTTGAGGTCAAAACAAGGGTGGGAAGAGCACAGGGGACCATGGTGATGGTTCACGGGTGAATGGATGGTGGGAATTTCACAGGGACTATAACCAAGATGAAAATGCATCCATTGTACAAAAATGAAAAATGATGTAATATATATATATATTTGCCATATATATATGGCATATATATATTTGGCAAGTGCAGCTATGGTTACATGCCCTGAGAAGCTTGTTTCATGAGCTACATCGTAACGCAGATGAGGCACAAGAGCTTCCTCCTAGAACACAGCCTTAATGCTGTGACCATTTCTAAGCAGCTGGTGAAAGCATCAGCAATAGCCTCTCTCTCCATTCTGTTCTGTGATTGTTTTTACATGAGTCTGTTTCCTGAAAAGAGTTTCTCCTTAGAAGTTAGCAGATGTCCTCTGTCCGGTCATTTTGGTGCCTTCTCAGTGGAAGGCTGTGGAGACCAGAGGTGGAGCAGGAGGCAGCTCCCCCATGGTCACGGGTACTCTGGGGGACAGTTTAATGAATGAGGCCTGTGTTTTCACACTAACATTTGCTGAGCAGTAATTCCTCTAGAACCATCCATTGGTGTTTCGCTTGCTGGTAACCAGGGCCTAGTCTGTGTTGTCTGTGGTGAGGAAGCAAGGGCATTGTTGTGACAGGTTAGAACATGGTCTAACCTACTTTAGAGGTGGAAATACTCGCTTTCTGCTTTTTTCCCAGATGACCTATTTTTTGTTAATGGATACCATGGTTTTTGTTTCTCACTGCTGTATGATATTTCAGTTTTAATTGCTCATAATAAGTTTCTATAGTGAGCTGAAGTGATTAAATTGTCTAATATTGTCTTGCACAAAGTTTAAGTGTAATTCACAGCATCATTAGATCTATGCACAGAGAGCACTGTACATTTTTTCAGCTTATGTTCATTTGAAGTGGTGAAGTTATGTTTCAGAGTGAAGAAAATGATCCTGTCGTAATGAGTAAATAACGTTATGCTTATAAATTTGATAGCAATTATGACAAAGTAAGTTTTGGGTGAAACTTGTTAGTTTTGATCATCGTTCTATTCACACATTTTTTCTTATTAAAGATGTGGGGGGCTGCTGCTGGAGGACTGGAGGGGAAAGGGTCGTCGTTTCTCGCGTGTGGCCACACTCAGTCAGCACCTCCCAGGGGTGGGCCATTCCGTGGCCACTGGCCTGTGTCTCGGGAGCTCAGCCCCGAGACAGCTCAGAGCTCAGCCCTGCCCCCCGCCGCGTCCCCTTCCACAGGCCCTGGGGCCCGGGTGGCAAGGGGTGAGGGGGCAGGGCAGCGAGGGGGTGAGGCGTCAGGGCGAGGGGGCGGGGCGTTGGGACGAGGCCTGGGCGAGGGCAGGGCCTTGGGGCGAGGGCAAGGGGCGTAGGGGGAGGGCCGGGACTTGAGGGGTGAGGGCCGGGGCATTTCCACGGCCAGGGCGCTGGCTGTCACAGTAAAACCCACAGGCCCCAGTGACGCATCTTCGGACTCAGACTTCACAGGGTGTTGATTTGTGGGTCCAGGAAGATTCTGAACGTCGGGTTATCCTACTCGGGCTTCGAGTTCATAGACAAGAAGGGGCAAAGTATGGCCGAGCCGTTTCCAGAGCTGGCGGGCGGCGGCTCTCGGCCTACCTCAGCAGTTTGCTGCCTTAACTTCTGCCCGTTTTCCCCCCCGCAGGTGGTGAGAGGGCCTGCGGCGTGCACGAGCTGATCTGCATCAGGAGAGGTGAGCCGGAAGCAGCCCGCGGAGGGGGCAGGCGGCTGCGTTCTGGGGGTCCTGGGCCAAGGCGCCCGAGGCGCTTCCTGGGGTTCGCGTCTCGGTGGGCGTGGAGGGCTGTCCCTTTGTGCGTCGTTGGGATGGGCCGACAGGCCTGGCATCCAGCTGTTGGGCATCAAGCCCGGGAGCGCTGAGTGGAGAGTCTGCTCAGGCCCTTTCAGGAGGGGCTCTCCGCGGGGTTTCCCGGACCTCCCTCGCCGTCCAGTAGAGATCGCGGAGCCAGTGCAGCAGCCACAAGGGCCTTTGCGCTGCTGGCAGGTCAGCCTTCTTCCCGCGGACGAGCTGAGGGGCACGGGGGCTCCTTGAGGCTGCCAGGAGTGGGAGCCCCTCCGAGGGGAGCTGCAGTCGGAAGGGTCTCGGGTGGACTCTAGGGAACTGGCCGCGGTGAGGGCAGAGGCCAGAGCTTCCTCATGCTCCGCCCTCTCCCAGCCGCAGGGCCGAGTCCAGCCATCCGGGGATCTCCCTTACAGATGCCCCCGGGGCCTGGGGCCAGTGCCTTCCTAGTACCACCCTCACCGAGGACTCCAGCAGATCTTAACTCAGCTCCTGGCAGGCTGGGAAACGCTGTTGCCACCTCCTAGGGGCCTTTGTGTGACTGGTCATCCGAGTGTCACTGCACTTCCAGTCTCCTTCCTTGATGACGGTTTCTGCCTTTCTTCTGGCCCCACGAAGGAGAAGGTTGAAGTCACTTCCCTGAATTTCAAATTTAGGATTGGGATTTGTTGCCTTTTCTCTGAAATGAGCGAGGGTGCGCCCCGCCCCCCATTGTTCCTCTATATTAGATACTATCCAGAGTTACCATGAATGCTTTGATTTTATAGTTATTTTCTTGTCCCACTAAAACTTTAAAACCCAGAATGTGTTTGATTGGACAGCAAAAGACCGAGGACAGAGGAGGCGGAATCAGAAGTCGAGAACAGAGACAGCAGAAGAGGAGCCTAAAATGCCTGGCTGTGCGCAATGGGTCCATGCCCCAGGGGCTGTGCCCGATGCTCCCAGCCCGGCGGTGAGCCCCAGCGCACGCCTTGCCCAGGCTCCTCTCCTTTTCATGTCCCTCTGATTTCTATGGACTTTAAATCTGTGGTTACACTTCCTAAACGCCTTGCAGGCAGCCCTGTCGGGGGATCGTCTCTGTTCCCTGCTGCCTTCTGGCCGTGTCCCGACCTCATGGGTGACCCAGTTCAAATTACTGAGTGTTCTCAGAACAACGCCCACATCTTGAGAGCTTCTGCCTTTCACAGAGCTGAGGTGGGAAGGTCAAAGAAGATGGGTCCGGCGTCAGCGTCCTGACTCTGGGGCGTCCTTGCTTTCCTCACCACCAGCCTCCTGCTATGCCCACTTGGCTTCTTCTCTCACATGCTGAGTCCTGGGACACCCTGGGGCTTGAGCCTGGACTGCCACGCTCCCCCCCCACCCCTGTCCGATTTCACCAACGGCTGTTTTAAGTGCGGCTCGTGTGGATAAGCCCAGCTTGGAGCTGACCCGAGTCCCTGCTCGGCATCAAGCTCGTTACCAGGTGTCTCCCTGGATGTCCTAGTGAACCGCAGCCCCCACACCTGGCGTGGATGGCTGCGTTGCATGAGCCCGGCCTGCCCCTGCCCTCCCAAGGGCTCGAGTACTAGCTGATGAGTCGTTCCACGTCTGCCTCATCCTCTTTGCTTCCACACTTGCTGCAGGTTCTCTCCGCTCCGCTGTTTCTGTCCACCCGAGGCGAGGCTCTGTTCTCCTTGCCAGGCGGCTGCCCGTGCGCCGGTCGCTGTCCGGTCTTGCTGCGCAGCTGCTGCTCCCCAGCAGGCTTGCTCCACGCTCTTGCAAATGCAAGTCAGGCTGTGATGCTTTGCTGGCTGAGCTCTGGCCCCTTATCTGGCATAAATCAGTGTCTCACCTTGACCTGGAGAGCTGCCACCGGGGCACCAAGCCCATGACACCACTCTGAGGCACAGGGATGGGGCAGTGCGGTTCTTGACACGCCACCCGGGAGAGAAAGTGGAAGGGAGCACCGTGGGGCTGGCATCGGTCCCTTCTGAATCCCTGGAGCTGCTGTGTGTGGGTCCCGGGGAGGACACAGCGGGTCTGTGGCTCCGTGTGCAGGAGGTATGCACTGGCCCGTGGCCGGTCAGTGCCTCTGCCTGCTGGTACAATGTCCCCCATGTCCCGGTGTGAGGCCCCCCCCCCGCCACTGCCCTGCGTGGGGCCACTTACCAGCCGGCTGTGACCACTTCTCCCCAGATGAGCCTGTGCCTGCGTCTGCTGAGGGTCAGACTCTCCTGGAGCTCTCAGGCACCGTGTCTGGCCTTCAAGGCGCTGGTGAGGCTGTGGCCACCACCCAAGGCCCAGTACCCAGCAGCTTTCCTGGCAAAGGCTGGTTCTGGTCTCCTGGGACATCTGGCTGGATGAGGACTCTCCCAGCTGCAGGTGCTGCTCCCCTCTGCCTCAAAGATAGCCATGCTCACCTCCCTCTCACACTGGGTGAGGAACCGCCACCTTCAGCGCTTTGCTCGGGGCCTCAGCTCCCATCCTGGCTCTGGCGGGGCTGTGGGTACCGGAGAGTGGGCTTCCATACCCTGGAGCCTGTCCCCTTCCCCCTGTACCTACCCGCTCTCCTCCTGGCCCTGGAGCAGCTTTGCCCCGCTTGCTGTTGTGACTCTGGCACTCTGGGAGGCAGCCCGGCTCCTCTCCCCAATCCTGAGCAGCATGTGGGGCATCTCTGCTGAGAAGAGAGTGGAGCTGTGCCAGGAGCAACGCCCTGGGCAGGCAGTCCTGGCTGGGCTGGGCCTGAGCCTCAGCTCTGTTCTGAGTGGCTGGTGGGCATTTCAAGAAAGGAAAACTGAGAAGCCCTGAGGGCCTGCCGGTGGGAGGCAGAGGAGCAGGTGCAGCAGGCTTTGTGTGGCTGCAAGAGGGAGCCGCCCCGGACTGGGCGCGCGTACTTCCATCCCCACAGGTGGGGGTGGTGCCGGGGGTGGACTGAGATCTCAAGTTAGGGTTCCCTTCTTTGCCCTTGCAGAGCTTTCAGACATACCCAGAGAGGGAGCTGTAGTCCAGGTGGGCTCCACACCGTTCAGCCTCTGTGCTAGCTACCCACCAGGGTGTCCAGAAGGGCCCGCTCTGTGCACAGCTATGCCTGCAGGCCCCTGGATGTCATCACTCTTCTCTGCTACTAGAGTCTGTCTGGTCTGTCAGGCCAGGCTGGGCCCTGTGGCAGGCAGGCCTCTCGCTCGCGCCTGTGCCCCCGCCTGCGACGTCCGTGGGCTCGCTCATTCCTAGCAGTGGAAATCACTTTTTTAAAAGTTGGCCATTAAGATCACGCTGGGAGCACCCAGGTGCTGGTGTTGCCACCCCTCATGGAAGGGTTATTTTTAGGTAGGTTCTGGAAAGCGGGGCTGCTGAGTCAGAACCGTTCTTACGTAATCGTGAGAGACTCTGCAGGTTCCTGCTCTTGCAAGTGCGCTGTGCCCCTGGAGACAGGTGCCCCCAGCTCTGCAGAGGGTGAGCTGCAGCTGACGTGTCTGTGGCCTCTGTCTGGCAGCGGGGCAGCGAGAAGCTTGGGGCCTCACCGTCCTTCCCTTGTGAGTGAGCTTGGCACCCGCAGCCTGTGTGCCTGCGGGTGCCGGCCTTGGGAGACCCACCAAAGACCTGCCTCCCCTCCGCGTCCATGGCCTCCAGCCCTGATTCTGCTGTAATCAGGACCCACCGAGTCTGCAGAAATTTATCGCAAAATGGAGTGTGTGGGGAAGGAAGGCAGGTGTCCTGTGCCCCCCGTCTGTGCTGGAGACATGGGCCACCAGCACCCACGGCCTGCCCTTCGCAGCAGGAGCAAGGATGACTGCGGATGGTGCCCGGCACAGGCCAGACAGTGCCCGCTTGGGAGGGGTCCCTGGCTGTGCCCGCTGCTGCCGTGGCCTCATTGGAGCTGATGGCATCACCCCCTTCCCAGGGAGCGGGGACCCTGCGCCAGTGCAAAAGGGGATACTCTGTCCCGCGGGAGCCTGGGCTGTGACTGCGTGGCGCGGAGGAGCTCTCCCCGGAGGTGTGCTCCATGTCCGGCCCGGCGCTGTAGGCAGCGCTACCTTTTCTCATAGGTTTGTTTCCCGTCAGTTGGTTTCTCTGGCTTTTGGTCGTGTCTTCTCCCTCCCAACACAGTTACTCCTCTGTGCAGGCGGTGAGGCTGGGGGCTGGGGTTAGTGAAGGGGGTGCGGTGGGCTGGAGCCACCTGGTTGTGGGCCCAGCGCCCTGGCAGGCCTGCTGGTGTGCAGGAGGGTGGAGCTACGTCCCCTCCCAGGCGTCCACGGATTCTTGTCTATTTGATATGTTCAGTGGGTGGCCGAGTGCCAGGCACGGGTCAGGCACTGGGTCCTCGTGTCAGTAAGACAGCTCCGGCTCTTCTGTGCATCTAGCCTGGGGCTGTAGGAACAGCATGTGTGGAACGTTCTAGATGGTTGTCAATACTGGGAGACCCCAGAGCCCAGCGGGGGTGAGTGTGGGTGTGTCCAGATAACCAAATTGCTGAGGCTGATGCCATGTGACCAGGGGCTTGAGGGGGGCCCAGCAGGGTTGTGGCTTCAGAGCAGGAAGAAGCACATGTGGGAGTGAGGCTGGACACCCAGGGGCGCTGACAGGGGAGTAGCAGGACACAGAGGAGGAGCTGGAGTCTCACCCAAGGAGGTAAAGGAAGAGTGGCCCCAGGCTGCATGTGGACTTTAGGGCAGCGGGCTCAGGCCTGGACGCTGCAGGTGCCACCAGGATTATGTAGGCAGTGGGGGTCTCGCCAGGTAAAGCAGCCTATGGTGGTGGTGGAGGAGGCAGGGGACCCATGGGAAAGCTCCTAGACCTGGGAGCTGGTGCAGAGAGGCCACGACAGTGTAGACTTGGCATTGCTGGTGGTGGGGGCAAGGCTTAACTGGGGTGGCCTTCCTCCCTGGTGCTGCTCTTCGGGGGGCCAGGGTTGGGTC